GTGTAGCTTTGTGCATAACTACAAAACAAACAAATCTATTTTGCAATGATTTACTCTTGTTCCAGATTTTTCTGCTGCTTATTTTGTCAGAGTTTTTAACCTTTTTAAGTTCTTCTTTTGTTTTCCATGAAGCAGCAAAAAAAGAAACAAAGCCAAAAGTCTTTTATTTTTTATTCCTTTGCGAGTTGTGCTTTAGAATAACCTAATGGTGGATCTTTGTAAACAACGACTATATAGATACTCTTGAAGCCCACCTGGTAAAATATTTGCCTACAGGTAAGTTTGTGTATTTTGTACAGATGTGCTAAGATTATCTCTATATCCGTGATCCAAGTAATTCAAGATTTCTTTTGAAGTCTGTGAATTAATTTCGTATTGGTTTCAAAACGCAGTTAAGTCAATGATACTTACCCTACGGCAACATCAAATATGTTGCTTCCGATTGAACTGGAAACGGCCATATCACCTAATCCTTTGCGTGCAACCAGAACACTTGTAATAAGATCCGGGATGCTGGTGCCAGCAGCAAGAAAGGTCAAACCCATTACCTGAAATTATTTCGAAAATTGGAAACTTTTCACTGTTGCTAGTTTAAAAAAAAAGTCATACAGGATAATTCAAACTTTTACCTATCATGTACGCAACAGAAATCAGAACTTTCGTGGTTTATCGTTAACCACAGCTCATTATACGTGCATTCATTATCTTGGTTTCATATTCAGTAATGAAAACGTGAGAAAGTTTGTGATTTTTGCATATGAATACGTTTTAGAAAACTAACTTGTTATACATGAAAAGCAGTTCCTAATTAATAATTATACTTGGTGTTTGGAGTGACTCTGCCATTATCCGTTTTTTGTTATCACTTATTAAAAAAGTCTTGAAGCCGACGTCATCAACTCTATTACTGTGTTTCTTTGTTTTTGTTTGGCCAAGTAGAATAACCACACCTTCCTCCACTTCTATTAACTAGCCACCTGGGTATTTTAAACTACATAATGAGAGCCCTGATTTGATAGTGCATTGTTGTTATACATATATGGATATGTATAGAATGTCTACACAAATCCCGTGGGTGAACCTGAAAACACGGTTACTTTATCAATATGTTTATTGTTTAGTTTTAATAGAGAACCTCTCTCTGTAGAATCAGCGCGCAAACGATGTTTTGGCACGTTCATGTTCACCTTCATTAGTTGAAACCCTTCCTTTCAGAGTTCATCGCATTTAGACAGCCTCCTTTAGAAGTAAACTATGGGTAAAAAACTGCCTATAGAATTCGTGAAAGAACGTAATACATATACACGTTTTTCCAGTTTTCTGAAACCCTAATTTGAGAACTGTTGTGATCATCTTAATTTCTAGATAATAGAACAAAAAGCGACGAATCTTTTTTTTTTTTTCACTCGTGCAAAACAATAAGAAAGAAAAGACATCGTATGAGCTTACATCTCTTACTCATTGGTGGTATTGTAGGGGGACATGTAAAACAAATTTATAAACTATGATGTTACTCAAATATCTATGTCTCGTTCTAATATTACAAAGAGAAAACAGAACAAAATAATCTAACTAATTTTTGCAATTAAATGGTAAGGACAGTTATGACACTAAATCTTAAAATTTACCTTTGTTGTTCAAATGTTAGTTTGAACGGTTTAATCAGAGAGTGAACTATTTTGAACGGTTTAGTCAGAGAGTGAACTATTTTGAACGGTTTAATCCGAGAGTGAACTATTTTGAACGGTTTAATCAGAGAGTGAACTATTTTGAACGGTTTAATCCGAGAGTGAACTATTTTGAACGGTTTAGCCAGAGAGTGAACTATTTTGAACGGTTTAATCCGAGAGTGAACTATTTTGAACGGTTTAGCCAGAGAGTGAACTATTAAAACCTACTTCATTTGGTATTCCTGCAGCTTCACCGGTCAAAGAAGCCCACCAAACCATCAGGTAGGAAAAAAAAGCGATCCAAATAATGCTTCCTATAAACGTTATGGGGAACCACTTGCGTTTCTCCTGCACAATCATATCCAAGACATAAACAGTTTAAAATCTTACCTCCTGCACAATCATATCCAAGACATATACAGTTTAAAATCTTGCCTCGTGCACAATCATATCCAATACATATACAGTTGAAAATCTAGCCTCCTGCACAATTATATCCAATACATACAAAATCTTACCTATTGGACAATCATATTCAAGACATATATAATTAAAAATCTTACCTCCTGCACAATCATATCCAAGACATATACAGTTTAAAAATCTTGCCTCCTGCACAATTATATCCAATACATACAAAATCTTACCTATTGGACAATCATATTCAAGACATATAAAGTTAAAAATCTTGCCTCCTGCACAATTATATCCAGTACATACAAAATCTTACCTATTGGACAATCAAAGTTAAAAATCTTACATCTTGCACAATCATATCCAAGACAAATATAGTTACGAATATTAAACAAGCTTAAATAGAATTTTTATTCTCCAATTCGTAAGACATCGTGTTTAAAACTTTGTTAGTCCTGGTAGTATGGTTAACATTTTTGATAGGGACACGCATGGCGATTTAAGATTTTATATAAGCAAACAGTCATTAACCATACAAGTTAGTGGCAATGATATAGGAAATAAACCGAGAAAAAAGAACAATAAACAGTTAATAATCTTTAATGTATTAAACAGTATTACAAGTAACTTTAAAAGAAATTTAGAAACAAACACTCGTTATAAGTTATGTAAATTAATATTCCTAATAAACATTCCTTGTTTAGTACAGTTTAGGTGATTTTCTCAATATAAATTTTAAGCTTGGCTTGATTTGGGTTCTTTTGGAAACCTTTCGAGACATATATGTGAGTTTTCTTTAGACAGATATATTATTATTAGTGGTAGTTTTTAACGCAAAGCTACATAATATACTAAATGATCTACGCCCACCTTGGGGATACGAGCCATAAATTGTAAGTCCGGAAACCTACCACTGATCCATCAGGAGACCAGGTGTATTGAAACGTTGTCTCACAAGCGTGTTAGTTAAGTAAGTTATTCTTATAACTATTATAGTACCACCGCTCTGCTGTTCCACGCAGTACTTATTCAGATGTATTGTTTGAGATCTACTTTGATTGGGATCCTTTTTATTATCGCTTTCTTTAAGCTGCTGTTTACATTTTAAAAAAGATACGTCATGCGACTATTATGTGCTGAAAATTCCGTTTATGAAATGATAATGATGTTCAGGTCTATTTCAAGATGTAAAAAAAAAACACTGACGCGCTACAGTAAAAAATTGTTGCTTCTATCAAAGTAGGTTAGATTACAAGTTAAAGTTCAAATGTTTAAATAAAGAATACGTTTAGAAATATTTGTGAATAAGGCTGTAATTAATCATAATAAATCTAAGTCCATTAAGTCGAAAAATATAAAACATAAACGTTCAATTACAGAAATAAGTTATCAGATAAATGAATAAAACACTATCATCAGTTTGCACTGAAAAAAACTGATGAAAAGTTGGATATTTCCAACCAAGCACTAATTAATAATTTTCTAAATAGCTACTGTGATTTCAAACTAAGAATGATTAATGTAGTTTTTAACCCCAATATTTTCATTATTTGCTTCGAACTACATTTAAAAAAACTTCATTCGATGTTTTTTTCAATTAAGAGTTTGGATAGGAGCAAATCAATCAAAAAAATAAATTTAATTAGAGTTTATAGAATTATTTTGGAGCAGGAATTTTTTCATCTCAAAATAAAAGGTATGACGATCTTAGTTCTTATGCTTCAATCATCTTTGGTCCTTGGAATGCTTCAAATTTAATTAACACTCCTTCATATTCTTGACGACACTCAATCAGACTAAGAAGCGCCTGAGTATGAAATGGGTGTCACTTATTACTCGCCCCCCAGTGGCACAGCGGTATGTCTGCGGGCTTACAACGCTAGAAACCGGGTTTTGATACCTGTGGTGGGCAGAGCACAGATAGCCCATTGTGTAGCTTTGTGCATAACTTAAAACAAACAAACACTTATTACTCATATTATTATTATTATTACATAAGTGACTTATGAATATATTTATTTATATTCATGTTGATGTGAATCGCTCCTAATGTCTTTAATATTTTAGAAATAGACTAATAATTCTTAGAAAGAAAAATTAGCTTAAATATCAGTTTCTTGTTTATCATGATTTTTATTTTCATAATCTTTATTGATTGATGATATTTGTTATTGATCTTGTTAATAATTTACTGATTCTATAATGATTATTTACTTTTTTAATTGATTTACTGACATTTGTGGAAGATGCTTTACAATCAATTTTGGCATTTTTTTTATGGAAACTTTCAAAGCACAAATGCACGCAATATAATAACTGTAACTGTGTGGTTAGAAAAATATTAATTAAGTAAATTTAGCATTATTACATACTTATATTTGCATATAAATTATATTTATTTATACAACTATTTAATTCTGAATATAACCTTTCGGCGAACGTCCGGTAGGGTGAGCCACAAAGGAAAGATAATTGGCGCCATAAGAATGTAGTTTAGTCTTTTCCGCCAGGTGGTGGGCCAACTGATGTCTAAAGGTTTTTCTTGTTCTAGGATTTCTTCCGATTGCTGAGTCTCCTATATAGTAAAGAAGGTTGCAATAACTTTTAATAACAATTTACTGTTATTAACCTAATAAATAAAAACAAATCTCATAGTGTCTGAACATTAAAACCTTTTTCACTTAGTGGACAGCATCGATAAAAGGATGCAATAAACCAACTTTTTGGTGTAGATATCATTTTCTTTCTCTAACAAAAGGTACTCTTCCAAAAGTAATAAAATCGATTTTGAAATGATGCTGTTACCTGCAACTGAACACGTACTTCCTGCACGTGTGTACGAGTCCTTAACAGACACGTCTTTAAGTTCAAGAATAAAAGCTATTTATGCTAGAAAATGATAAATTTGTGTCCATTTGAAAGTCTCTTAACACAACTAATAGGGGTATCATAACCAAATGATGAAACTATTACAGTTGGATTAGCAAATGTGACAGAGATACTACTGTAAAAATAAATATTCACTATATGTTAAGATGTGTGACATGCCAACCAGTGGCACAGTGGCAAGTCTGTGCCAAAAATCGGGTTTCGATACCCGTAATGGGCACAGCACTGATAGCCCATTGTGTAGCTTTGCGTTTAACAACAAACAAACAAACTGTATAGCACCTTAGAAATTTGAGCGTTGTTTTAATATTTTAATACTGTGGTTGACTATATAAAAAATACCTTTTACTTACTCTTGGTAAGTCTTTCACTTACTTGATCGAAGATACCTGTATTATAACCAAACTAAACATAAATATTTATATATATGGACTTCAGAGTTTTGTTTATTTGTTGTTAAGCACAAAGCTACACAATGGGCTATCTGTGCTGTGCCCACTACAGGTATCGAAACCCGGTTTTTAGCATTATAAGCCTTCACACCTACTGATGAACAACTAGAACAAATAAAACATCAAAATATGTTGTTGTTAAGTACAAAGCTACACAAAGCTGTGTTGTGCCCACCGCAGGAATCGAAACCCAATTTTGGGTGTTATAAGCTCTCACTTTTATCGTCGATCCACTGTGGGATTTCAGAAAAATAAAAATATTTTCTAGTAAGCTTTAATACTTTGATGATTCATTAACTAAACAAATGAGTACTTAACATTTTTCCATGTACCCTTGAAGAATGAAAGTTCACTTCCTGAAACGGCTCAGGTTATTTGATCTTAACATTTTTCCATGTACCCTTGAAGAATGAAAGTTCACTTCCTGAAACGGCTCAGGTTATTTGATCTTAACATTTTTCCACGTACCCTTGAAGAATGAAACTTCACTTCCTGAAACGGCTCAGATTATCTGATCTTAACATTTGCGGAAATATTTAACTTGATTAATATCTTCGAATTCTGTTGGAGAAGGAAGTTTTAACGAGTTCACTTTTAGTTTTGATATAAGTAGGTAGCTTACTCTGATGAGAAGATTTTATTAATTCCCAAAGCTCTCGGGTTACTTGGTTTCTTGTTTTTATGATACATTTAGATTAATAAGTTTCATGCTTTTTAAATTAAGAAAACTATTCGTTCTCTGAAAGTGTGCAAATAATCTACTGATAAACTTTCAGAATCAACGCTTGAAACCTATATAGAATAGCGTAGAAAATAAGCTAAAATAATTATATTACGTAAAGTATGCAGTGAATATATGCTATGTGAAAACAATTTCTGTTTTTTCTTTACGACATGAATAAATGGTAATCCTGTAATTTGAATATGGGTAATTCGAAACTTTCGAATTCAAATAAATAATTTGACATTTCGTAATTTCCTCTTTTTAAACATGTTTATCTATATTTTATATATCTTGAGTAATGTCGTTATTTATTTCTCATCAAACCAAAAACAAAAAAAAAGTCCAAAACTAAAATTATAATTCTCAATTAAAATTTATTATAGCATAAATTTACAGGAATATTAATAGAAGGACATCTGAATAAACACCCTCTCACAATTATGTTAGTTCAAGAGCCAGATTCATAGCATCAATTGTGTAAGAAAATGTGATTTTTAGTTTAGGTAAAAACATAATTGTGCTACACAGAACTAGGAAGCCACGTCAAAGACCCCCAAGGTTCAAACATAGCCATTTCTAATTTGACCAATGGGAAGACAGTCAACCACCAGCACCCATCACTAACACGGCTACTCTTAAATGAATAACGTATTTATTAGGGGTGTCGCGATACACCGATACGATTTATGTATCTTCACGAAATTTGGCAAGCTTTCAGTAAACGTTATAAGTCTTTTGTACAGAAAAAATCAGGTGTCTTTGCTAAAAATTAGTGTTTTAATACATGGAGTCAAAGCAGTCTCTATTCCCAATGTAAAGCGGTTTTGATGTTAAGATTAAAAATACTTTTCTCTGTCTAAAAAATGAACAAATTTCTTTTGTGTAATCTCTGAAACCTCCGAAATAAATTTCCAACTTTTGAATTTCAAAATGCGCTGTAAAGTGTAAAGTATTTAAATAAGACAATATTAGTAATGTAGATAATAAATTACAGGCAAGACTGTCCAAATATGTAACAAACCGTTGGTAAAACTTTTGTATCTAGATACGTATCGTATCGTATCAGCCCTAAGCATAACCTGTCAGTTTTATAATGCGTCCGTAGCTGAAAACGCGGAGCATGTTCAACGGCATACCGTGGCCTAAAACTTTGGCCCTTCCATCCAGAACTCGGCACGCTGAGAGTAAGTCACGCCCTACCCTAAAGACTCATTAACAGTAAATAATAATATTAATAATTACGCCTAGTGCTTAAAGTTATTGGAGTGGATTTTGAACTCGAAGTTTTGTTATTTATATAAAAAAAAAAATTATTTGCACTCGAACGTTATACTTAACCCCCTTTGGAATAATCCTAAAGTAGAAAAGAAAATCTAATTTTACAACGTACACTTATAGCTACGCATTAAACAGCTTTAACACCTATCGGATGTCCCCCCCCCCATGGGACAGCGGTAAGTCTACGAACTTACAACGCTAAAATCCGGGGTTCGATTTCCGGCGGTGGACACAGCAGGCTTTGCTCTAATACAAACAAACAAAAAACAAACCTACCGGACATAACTCGAGAACAGCAGATGGTCCAGAGTCGGTAGTTATTGTACATAAGTTACTGGGTGAACTACCCCCGGTATTATATTCGGTCTTCCCAACACTCCTTATGTCGGTAGCTTCTCTGGACATCTGGCCCAGATCTTGAGTGATTTCGTTGTAGTCACTGCCGGACAAAGACGTGAGAGACACCATATGTTCTAGCTATCAACACAATAAGATGGCGTTAGAAGCTTTGAAGAATAAAAACCACTAAACGAGTATTTCATCGTAATCTGTATCTTAGCTTACAATTCAATTATGAGAAATCGAACACGGTAACATCGACAGACTTTCTAAGGCCTAATTTACTTCTCATAATAACGGAAGCCAAAAGAAGATGACTTTTCAAATGTTTGTATAATGAGCTCAGAGTGTCCGAAATCAACATTAAACATTCAAACACAACGGCAAGTAGCATCAAGGTTGTTGGTTATAATTTCTGAACTCAAACACAACGGAAACTAGCATCAAGGTTGTTGGTTATAGTTTCTGGACTCAAACACAACGGAAAGTAGCATCATGGTTGTTGGTTATAACTTCTGAAATCAAACACAACGGCAAGTAGTATCATGGTTGTTGGTTAT